GAGCGACGGGAAGCATATGATGTATTCGTTGGATGTAAAGCTTGGTTTCATGATGCTAATTACCTATAAAACAAGCCTAGACACAGCTCAATCGGTTAATTAGAATTTTTTCTATCGTGTACACAAACTTGAAAAATGCTGTTTTGAGAAAAATGCGTTTAAAGTTTTCGGTATCGAAATGTAAAAAGAAAAGTGATTTTTGGAAACTTACAGCTGTTTTCCGCTAGTCTGCTATTTCAGGTCCATATAGCAAACCTTCAGCTTTCTCGTTCATCACTCCTTTTTTTTCTTTCACTACTTTTTGGCATAAAACATCGAACACTACACTCGCGGCGCTGTGAATATGTCTCACTATAAGATCGTATGCACTTTTACTTATGCCTTGTTTGATGTCCATAAGGTCGTAAAACAATTTTATTCCTTCTCTATCGACGCTTTACGATTACTATTCTTCGATTAATTTCATAATCATTGTTTATAAAAGGCTCTAAGTTAATATCTTTACGATTACAGCGGCATGTAGAAACAAGTTTAAAACTGAGGCTCCGATTTCCTGCTTCTTCGAATTTCACACTTTGCTTGCACTTTCCAAATTACACTCTCAAATACGTATTTTCGAAAACGTGCCAAAAACAGTTATAAATTCTATAATCCTATATCTTATATTACCGTTGATCAAGCGCCCCGCCGCGCGCTTGTATACCTGCTCGACGCACGATTTTGTTGAGGCTTGTAGCTCGCAAAATACTTTAAATTTTGGTCTGAAATTTTAAGGAAATATTCTCTAATATAGCTACTATCGACTAAGACTATTTCTGAAAAATCGATTTTTTGGACCCTCTAAATGAGATTCCCTCCTTAAGAAAAAAAAGTTTCAAATTTTTTATGTAATTATTTGTTTTTTACAGACCGTCAATACTCAGCATCGAAAAACTACAGTGCATACAAAGAAATCTTTCGTTATTATCAAAGCGCATATCCAATATTCAAAACCGAATATTCTCACGTGAATGAATTTATAATTATGATTTTTTAATATGATTTATTCGTTCAGTTGGATTATATTTACCCGTTAAACATACGCGTAAATAATTAATCAGTCGTGTGCGAGTTATTATTTGATGTAGTTCGACAGTGACATGTCTCCTAGTTTCCGAATTTAATGTGATAGCGATGGACCGTGAATAAATGATAAGACATAGGATTCCGATATCACATTTAATATTATATCGCTATTGAAAAATTCAGTGCACGTTGCAGCTTATGCAAAATTAATAACTGCTCCTCTGCCTCCGTTATTTATTTCGTTCAGTCCGATTTGTGCCAGCAGGCTCAATGTAAAATCCTGGAGATTACTTTAATTCTCGCGTAGAAATATGCGTAATTTGAAACTAGAACACAGTGGAACATATAAGATACTCTTTTTCGCTTTATTGCAATTTATATCTAACACTAACGCGGGAGACAGCGATTTTATTCGCGACTATTTCGTGCACAAGGCAGTGCGGAATGTCGTGGGATTCTCCTGCGGAGATCTCACGAGTAGGTGAAGCCAATAAGATAACAGGGGATTAGATTATTCGACCAAAAATCCTAAATTCCAAAATTTACAGATATCTTTTAATCGAGATTTTTTTCTTTTATTTTCTCTTTAGAGGATTTTTATTTTATAAAGTCGTTGAGCAAGGCTGGTATATACACGATCATCAGGAAACACGACAAGAGTATCAACGTACGTCGATTTTTGAACGCCGAGACATGGAGCTTGGGAGTCGTCGTGGATCTGCGTTGTAACAACGATAGCGCCGTGACCATCTTCGACGAGGTGAAACAATTTGTAAAATCGATAAATCCGGATAATACTTTAATTTTCTTGTTTAAAAAAAAAAAACGAATAATTCATATGTTTCAGACTTCTAAATATCGTATGTACGACTATTCGTACCACTGGTTGGTCCTGGGATCGGTATTGAACAATAGCGTGTCGCTGCTGAACGACAGCGCGTACAGCATAACGACCGATCTCACGCTCGCGATAATGAACGGCAGCGGTTACGATCTGTATGACGTTTATAATCACTGCAAGTATCGTGGAGGCACGCCGAACGTGACAACGCTAGGCTCCTGGCAGCGGGAAACGGGCTTTGTCATCACTCTGACTCAGCCTTTGGTCCAGAGAAGAGCCGATATGCACGGCATGACGCTGAAAATATCAGGCGTGGTTCGTATCATCGAATATGCATAAAAATTAAATTTGATTATTGTTACATGTTTTTTTCGCTGTAGATACAATACAGACCGAAAAATATGCGTTTGGAAGATTATATGCACGACATTAACACCAGATCGTTGGACAGCATGCATAAGTTTACGTACGCGATGATATCTCACACCGCCGACCTCTTTAATTTTAGGTATTTCTTTTTTTTCTAGTAAACTTATTTTGAATTTTTATTGCTAACAGCCCATTTCTTTTTTCAAGCGTACACGCTTCGGAGATAATTTACTGGGATCGTCACAGCGTGCACGGCTTAATTTTCGAGATATTGCAAGCGAATTATATCGATTTCGCCAGTAATCCCAGGATTATGGTGTCTGAAAGATTGGATTACGCCACCCTCATCGGCGCTGCTTGGCCAATTCGGTATTGACACGCTTCTTAAGAAGCTATTAATCTGATGTATCGCTCAATGAATAATTAATTTCTCTCGCGCAGACCCTGTTTCATGCTGCTGTCTAGTCCGTCGAACAAGATCAAACTCGAGATCTTTCTGAAGCCGTTCGCGAACGAAACTTGGTACTTGAACGCCGTGTTCATAGTATTCACCATGTTCATAATGAGAATAATAATGAGGTGCGAAAAGTCGAGCAAGGAAGAAAAGTATTCCGGCGCCATAGTTGTCATTATTGGCATTGTCGGTCAGCAAGGTATAAAATAACGCACGGATAAATTATCTCGTTAATTTAACTATAATTTCTTACGCAGGTTCAAACTTCTTTCCTAACCGCATCCCGAGCCGCATCGCTCTCCTGCAGATCCTCGTGTTCAACTGGATTATATACAACTATTACTCGGGTAGCATAGTATCGGCTCGTTTGAGCGAGCCGCTCGACATGATGGAGGATTCCGTGTA